GTACGAAAGTGGCATGTCCCAAAAATTTTTTTTTTAAAGACCATGTCCTTGGCTATAATTTCACTGAACATTTCTAATAGATCAGATCACTATTTATAAAGATATAAATAAAGATCCACCAGATTGACCATTTCTCCCACTGTGCTCCCCTTCCATTCCATTCAAACAGCTGTGAAGTTCAGAGTAAAAAAACTATACGGTTTAGCCAAATGGCTGAAATGGTGTTAAATTGATGGGAACCATATTGGTAACCGAGGTTTCTCGTTACCAAAAAAGTAAGATGTCGGCCTTTTTTCATTTTTCCCTGCCCAAGAAGAAGGTGGAGCCCATGGCTGTCAACTTAAAGGAAACGAACCCAATTTCAATTTAAATTAAATAATTTTTATTTTAAAGTTTAAAATTTTAAACTAAATAAAGTTGAACTTAAAACTAAAGGAAATTAAACTTGAAACTAAACAATACAGAAATTTGAAACTAAGCCAACAGCAAACAAGCCACGCCATCGCCAGCTCCATCCATCGTGGGACTCTTTTGGCAGACCAGCACCAGCAATCCTGTGGTGCTCAGGTATCAGGTTTTCGACCTTAGTACTTACCATTCACCCGAACGACCAGACGAACAGGACTTCTAAATACTACTTTTAAATAATTTTCCTAGAAAATAAAATATAGAAAAAGATATATAAACAAATATATATATAGAAGTAGGCTTACCTGTCGTCCTTTTATTCGTCGTCATCCCGTTTGTGATTAAGCCAAACGTGCGCGATTAGGTTTGAGCTCAGGCCAAATATTAAATAAGAAAAAACGCGATAAGTTTGAATTTAGGTTGCCTAGAAATATATACATATATTTGCTAAATAGTGGTCCTTAAAATTATTTAAAAGGTTTTTCCAATATATTTTTTTTACTTACCGTGAATACTCTAACGGACTGAAATACGGACGGACCGAAAACCCATTCCTGCAACCAATCAGCTCTCAAGAATCCTGTCACTCACAGCAGCCAGCCAGTAATCGATGTTGAGGGACCTAAAAATAAAAGGGAAAACTTAAATAAAAGAAAAAAAAAAGACGTAGAATAACTTGAAACTTAAATTGAACTTGAAGCTAAAAACTTAAAAATAAAATTTTGTTTAACGTAAAACTAAAATTTGCTTAAAATTAAAACTAATTTTGCTACAACTAAATTTGTTAAACCTAAATTTTGTTAAAATTTAAACTAAATTTTTTTGTACTTAAAATTAAAATTTTGGTTAATATCTAAAAAAACTAATTGTTAAAATTTAAAGTTAAATTTGGCTAAAATTTAAAAATTTAAATTTGATTAAAAACTTAAAACTAAATTTTGCTCTAAAACTAAAACTTGCTAAAAACTTTAAACTTATAAATAAAACATTACTTTTGTTAAATTTTTTTTGTTAATAAACAAGTTTTTATAATGTTCAAATGAAATTTTAAAAATTGTATCATTAATATGATGTGGTAAATTTCTAATAATCGGCGGTAAGTAGGGTGACTAAAAGTTTGCAGGGAAGATCAGGGACGTCGAGGAAGTGGACGTCAAGGCGAGGATGAATCCTCGAGAGGGAGGGCCGTATTGTGTATAGGTATGACCGTAGGGAGATACAGGACTACTTTTGGCCCCTTTTTCTAATAATACCCCAAATGCTGGTATGAACTTTTGTGTTAGTGTGTGTCTGTGGTCCAGATTGCCGGCAAGAACCACCCCATCCGGCGAGCTTTAGCCGCGCAATACGCGGGCATACCAGCGCCGCTAGCAATCTGGCCACTCTGTCCCTTTTTGTTCTTTATGTTGTCTGTTTGTTTATTTAAACAAACAGCTGACACAACACACCTCACATGGATAGTGTACGGAAAAGAAAAAAATGGTTCCAGTTGTAATGGTGTCGAATGTAATACTGTTGTGACGCCCGTTACTATAGTTGATTTGTTTGCAGGTGAGTTTAGTAGACTAATAATAATATCCGAGGAAAATTTTAATTAGTTAAACAACTATGTACGTAAAATTCATAATTATTCTGACTCACCTTTAATCTGTTAAAATATTTTTGTACAGGATGTAGGTATGAAACCAGCAGCTAACTATCCATTCTCCTTCTCTCAATCTATATATAAAAGGCTTGCGTGACTGATTGACTGACTGATTCATCATCGCCCAGCCCAAACCGTTAAAGCTAGAATCATGAAATTTTGGTTATAGGTTCCTTTGACATTGTATAGATCCACTAAGAAGGGATTACGTTTAGGGGAAGAAATGGGTAAAAAAGGATAAAATTAGTATCCTTTATATCTCCTAAAGAAGCAACGATATAAATAAAATTCCAAATGTATCCTCTATTATACAAATAAATAATTGATAGGTGTCTGGTACTTTTTTTAAAAATCTAGACTTTATAGAGCTAAAAGGGTAAAAACTGTCCCCATAGAACCTTCTCTTAACCTATTTATGTTCGAAACAAATGACCATGCAAATAAAACTTTAAATTTATCCTATTATAATTAAAGTCTATTAGAAATCCTTTCGGTACTTTTTAGAAATTCGGGTAATGAAGGGATGAAAACGGTGTCTAAAATTGGCTTGCTGCCCGCTACTTCGTTAGCGATAAATTTTTGGCATTAATTAAATTTTGAAAACAACACATTAAACGATTTTTTAATTAATATATACATATGTATATAATTTTCACATATGTAATTACTGATGTTTTGTATTCTCAAAATATCATACAATTGATTAAACTTATTTTTATCACTTCATATCAACTTTTTACTCTAATTTAAATAAATTCATTTTCATCAACATCCGAGATTTTGGATTAACAGGACAGAGCTACGTGCAACTTTGTGGCTTTGCCTCCGTAAAAAATACATACCTAAAACTAAAACGGCCCTAACTAAAAAAAATTCAAAATCGACATTTTCATTTTCTGATGTATTACATCAAGCCAAATGTTCAAAAGGGCCCTATCTTCAAAAGCAGTTTATATAAAGGCTAAAAGACGTAACTAATCATTTGTAAATACAAATTGTAAATTGTCAAAACAACTGAGAAATTTACCGTTAAAAATGTCTTTTGAAGAAAAACAAATCGCGCTGATTGAAACTAAACTTTCCATTTTAAATAGTTTTTTGCTTCTCCTGTAGAATTTAAAAAATGTTAAATAGGGATTTTTGCGTTTTATGTGACGATATATGTATAAAAACAAATTATATTGTTTCTATCATACAACTACTTTAGAAATCTCCAAAATTACCGGATGAGGAACGAAAAGGTAAAAATTATTCCCTTTGTGCAGATTTCCATTCAACTAGAACCCTGCGTGTTTAATTTTATGCCTCTAAGTCCAATTATATAGAAAAATCAGAAAGTAGAGCGAAAAAGTACCAAAAGTCCCTTCCTATAGATTTCCATTCACTCCATATTTTATGTTTCTACGAAAACGAAACAAAAAGAACCAAAAAACACTTATTTTTTAATTTATATTTCAATATTATAGAAAACTCAAAAAGTACCAGCTGAAGAACATTCATACAGATTTCCATGAACAGAACCCTGCGTGTTTAATTTTATGTTTCTGACCAATATTATTGAAAAGCTAAAAAACACCCTTTGAAAAACTACAAAGTACCCAAAAAGTCCTCTTATATTAAAGAAAACATAAAAGGTATTCGTTGAAGAACGAAAAAGTACTAAAAGATCGCATTTAGATACTCACACACTGTTGACCCTTTATGTTCAATTTCATGTTTCTAGGTTGAATATTATAGAAAATTCAAAAAATACCTTTTGAAGAACACTTTATCGTTCCATGTTGTATATTCTCATTAAACGTTTAATTAATACCAGTAAAAGATCGAAAAAGTAATGCCTTTAGGAAGGCCTCTTTACTGCCACTTTTTCCCGCTGCGAACTGCTGGCTGCCATGTTACCGCCAACTGATATTGAAAATAAATTAACTTTTGTCATCTCGTATTCATTTAATCCGGATTATCTACATGGCGTTGCTCTTGCGGAATGGGCTAATGGACTGTTAAAGTTGCATTTTTTGCTTTAAATGTGACATATGTAGATCTTCTTGATATTCTGTAAGTAATAATCATATGTATTTTCAAAAACCTTTTATTTGGGAAAATATACTAGAGATCAGGATGCACTAAGTTATTACATCATGCTAGAGATGTTTAGTTTTATTTTAAATGATTGTGTTAAATGTAAACATTAGAGGATAAATACTTGTTGACTTCCAAAATATTCCATGTTATTTACCTACCTTTGGGGGTATAGTGATGGCTTTTTGTTATTGTTTTGAAAACGACTGCTAAAGTTGAAAAAACAAACTGGACAAATTATTCTGCCATGAAATAATCCATAATAGAAAAAAGTTGACGCCCATCGGTAGTGGCTAGTCGAAATTCGTATTCTATCAAGCAAAGAGCCAAAATATGGTGATTGCTACTTTGTTGCTATGTTTGGTTCCGGTACTAACCATTGTGGGCTTTATGTCGACTATAGATCCCTTAGAGTTGTCACACTATATGAATCATTTAAATGAACCCTTCAAAGATTTATTGCGTCATAATATAAAAGAAGAAAAACAACGTTTATTTGAATGTATTCCTTCCGATCACTTGATATTCTTGCGTCTGTATCAAGAATGGAAAAATAACTTTAGAAATGAGGAATTGGTTTTTGATTTTAATATAATTTCATTTTGAATGGCCTGTTGGAACAGGACTGCAATATCCGTACTCAATTGGTTGGATCCTTAAGATCATCACAATTAATATATAGCAAAGTTGATCTTAGTATGCAACATATAAATCTCAAATCGAATTGTTCTGTCATTAATTGGTGAGATGTATCCTAATATATGCGTATTGGATTCTAAGGTTAATCGTATTAAATCGCCGCACAGAAGAGAAATGGTTTTACATCCAAATTCTGTTTTGCGACATAGGATTTATGTGTTCGTTGAATTCTGGTTCACCGTGGATAGTGTACGGAAAAGAAAAAAATGGTTCCAGTTGTAATGGTGTCGAATGTAGTACTGTTGTGACGCCCATTACTACAGTTGATTTGTTTGCAGGTGAGTTTAGTAGACTAATAATAATATCCGAGGAAAATTTTAATTAGTTAAACAACTATGTACGTAAAATTCATAATTATTCTGACTCACCTTTAATCTGTTAAAATATTTTTGTACAGGATGTAGGTATGAAACCAGCAGCTAACTATCCATTCTCCTTCTCTCAATCTATATATAAAAGGCTTGCGTGACTGATTGATTCATCATCGCCCAGCCCAAACCGTTAAAGCTAGAATCATGAAATTTTGGTTATAGGTTCCTTTGGCATTGTATAGATCCACTAAGAAGGGATTACGTTTAGGGGAAGAAATGGGTAAAAAAGGATAAAATTAGTATCCTTTATATCTCCTAAAGAAGCAAAGATATAAATAAAATTCCAAATGTATCCTCTATTATACAAATAAATAATTGATAGGTGTCTGGTACTTTTTTTAAAAATCTAGACTTTATAGAGCTAAAAGGGTAAAAACTGTCCCCATAGAACCTTCTCTTAACCTATTTATGTTCGAAACAAATGACCATGCAAATAAAACTTTAAATTTATCCTATTATAATTAAAGTCTATTAGAAATCCTTTCGGTACTTTTTAGAAATTCGGGTAATGAAGGGATGAAAACGGTGTTTAAAATTGGCTTGCTGCCCGGTACTTCATTAGCGATAAATTTTTGGCATTAATTAAATTTTGAAAACAACACATTAAACGATTTTTTAATTAATATGGAATATACATATGTAAATAATTTTCACATATGTAATTACTGAAGTTTTGTATCCTCAAAATATTATACAATTTATTAAACTTATTTTTATCACTTCATATCACCTTTTTACTCTAATTTAAATAAATTCATTTTCATCAACATCCGAGATTTTGGATTAACAGGACAGAGCTACGTGCAACTTTGTGACTTTGCCTCCGTAAAAAATACATACCCAAAACTAAAACGGCCCTAACTAAAAAAAATTCAAAATCGACATTTTCATTTTCTGATGTATTACATCAAGCCAAATGTTCAAAAGGGCCCTATCTTCAAAAGCAGTTTTATATAAAGTCTAAAAGACGTAACTAATCATTTGTAAATACAAATTGTAAATTGTCAAAACAACTGAGAAATTTACCGTTAAAAAATGTCTTTTGAAGAAAAACAAATCGCGCTGATTGAAACTAAACTTTCCATTTTAAATAGTTTTTTGCTTCTCCTGTAGAATTTAAAAAAATGTTAAATAGGGATTTTTGCGTTTTATGTGACGATATATGTATAAAAACAAATTATATTGTTTCTATCATACAACTACTTTAGAAATCTCCAAAATTACCGGATGAGGAACGAAAAGGTAAAAATTATTCCCTTTGTGCAGATTTCCATTCAACTAGAACCTGCGTGTTTAATTTTATGCCTCTAAGTCCAATTATATAGAAAAATCAGAAAGTAGAGCGAAAAAGTACCAAAAGTCCCTTCCTATAGATTTCCATTCACTCCATATTTTACGTTTCTACGAAAACGAAACAAAAAAGAACCAAAAACACTTATTTTTTAATTTATATTTCAATATTATGTTAGGGATTCTATACACGTTTGGTATAAATCGTGAACATTTTCATTTTCAAGTATTTATTTTTATAAACTAGTGATGGTATTGTTTTTTTTATGACAATATGGTAAAATTGTTCTACATTTTATTTACCTTAATAAGGAAAATTATTTTGTCAACTTAACAAAACTTTGTACGTATATTTACATCTCTTTTACTTAAACAAAATCGGAAAATTACATTGTTTACATCAGTTGTGTTTTGGTTTTTGTCTTTGCTAACCATATAACAGTTTAAGGGTTAATTGAAATTTAATACTGGCAATGCTGAATACTTCTGAATACCCGATGTAAAAGTAATTGTTCTGACATGTACTGACGCAAACACTCACATTATCGAGAAGTTTTCTTTTACTTTACACGAGATTAACTCGTTCTTTTACCATTTTGAACTTGCATCGTCCAGGCGTGTTTTAATTAATATTCCAAACCAAAGATATACGTAATTTTTAGTGTCCAAAAAATAATATCAGGTTATATAGTTTTATTCCAAAGATCAAACTAAGTTTCTTCCAACCATAATCTAAACCGAAGTATCAACCAAAATTATCCGAAGGTAATATTTTGTTACTGATTATTTCTGTGATTTAATTAACATTACAAATCCCGTATAGTGAAGTGATCTTAACCTAAAATTAAGGGACACACGTGGACACGTAGCTTATTAAGACTCCCAATGATATGGTCTTCACGATATATCTTTTAAAGTAATTGAAAATTTCGTGTATAAATTTAATTTAAATGAAAGGTAATATAAATTTTATATTATTAAAAAAAAAAAATTATATTATCATACGCAAAAAATTACGTTTATACACAGCTTCAAAAGATCAAGATTATTCCTGACTCTAAATAAACTATCACTGATAGATGAGTAGAAAGTGGAAGTATAATTTCCACCAGAACTGTGTTGTTGTTTACGCATTTAATAAACTGAGAATTGGACAAAACACGCATTATGACGTCATGAATGAATGGGTATATGCTTAGTCAACAATAAATATAAGAATACAGAGGAAAACACACAAAGTCATAAAATCGAAATTTGGATAAAGGGTACCAAAATAATTTAACACTAACCGTACCAACTGAAACAATTCTCTACAACTAAATCTGTACTTCAACTCAATCACCAAACCAGAGTCTGAATTATACGAACATATTGAATTTCTTCCCAAATTCATAAGATCATCTATTTCCAGTAAAACTTATATAATACCTATTTGAAATCCGCTTGTAGTACGTGCATATTAGATGTAACTTGATTACACTACATTTTAAAAGTAAAATTCCTTAATAACATTTGATATAAAACTCATATATGAAATCATGCACATACAACAATACATGTATTTAGTTATAATTAGCTATAGTCAATAAGTAATGTAAATAAGTCTGGTATGGTATGTATAATTAAGTTAACCCGTATTTTTTTATTATTAACTGTTATACTTCTTAATATTTACTTAGAAATATGCAACAAATTACTTTTCCCCAGCCCCAATAGTATAAAAACAACTGGATGCAGATGTTCGAGAGGCCTCTACGTCATCAAACCAGTAAAACTTCAAACATATATGATGTAAGTTGTAAGTCCCAACAACAACAAATTTTTAAACTTTGGTGAGTGATCAAAAGTAATTATTTATTTATTTTACATGTTTGCATATTTCTTCTTTATTATTAGTATAAACAAAAGCAACAACAAAACATAATTATTTTGTTTGAATTTATTTTTATTAACTTTTATTGATTCCTCACAGAGAGAACCTTTAATGATTTCTTTTGCTAAAATTATATTTTGTTTTTGCTTTTGATAAGACTATTCTAAATATTTCTTTAGGGAAAAATAACCCTTTAGGACATAGCTTAGTATATTTAAGATCTAGTTAAGATTAAAATTTACTTAATCTCAATGAAGTAATAATTTTTTTTCAATAATTTCCGTACAATTGTACTCATGTAACTTAAAGATTCTATTACATACATTTTTTTAATGGCATAATGTACTGTTTATATAAGTCAGTTTTTTTATGAATATTCAGATACATAATAGTTTCTACATATATATTTTTCCAATTTTGTTTAATATTTAATGAATAAAATTTCATCTACTATGAATTGCTAAAAGTCTATTTCAATTGAGGAATGATACTAACTAACATGAAGGCTACTTAACTTCGATACTCTCACCCAAAAGGGGTAATCTTAGTAAAATGAAAAGTGTGTAGGTTACCATAGGAGTACCATAGGTAATTTTGGGTGGGAAAAATGCACTTCGAGCGACCTAACATCTTGTCTCTCTTAAAGATTGGATTCATATTAAAATGTTGAATATTTGTAATGATTGCTCAATAATTTGTGGTATTTATTAAATGGCATGAGAAATTTTTCTATGTTTACACGTTATTGTAAAATTTGGTGCAAGAACCACACCACAGCCGACAGAGCTAGTCGATGGAACACCAGCATGCCGCCGACGCTAGATTTTACAAAGTTTAAAATCGTTGAAATGAATTTACGCGTAACATAGATGGCGCCCAACGTACGGAGCTGTATTAATATTTTCATATTAAAAGCTTCTTACGATTTATTAAAAATTTATATTTCTTACAATATTTATTATTTGTAATTTTCCAACTTTATGCTTGAAAATAGTGATCTGAAATGAATATTAAAAATTTGTCTATCACATTTTCGTAACTCTCCTTTTGAAAACTTGATTTCTTTAGTAAAGTTTAGAACTTTGTAAGTCACAAATCTTTTATTTAAAATAGACGATTTGTTTGTAATAAAGTACCTAATCTTGACTTTTGAAATGTGATCAAAAATCTGTTATAGAGTCCCAAAACTTTTCGATTTGTTAATATTTAAGTTTATGTTGCATATAACCAAATTTGTATCTTCAAATTAAAATTGCAAACCGCATAATTTCAGGACAAAATGTGAGAGTTTATATTTGTAATTTTCATGAGGCAATTCAAAAGCCTTGTTTTTAGTATTTCGAACAATGTTTATAAGAATATACGATTAAGTTTTAATCGCCTGTTCGAAGAGAGTTTCATAGTATGACCGTAATGTTTAGTTAGTTAAATTCCTCAATAAATAATGATATTGAAATCTTATTTTTTTTGTGAATTATATTTATACACACATAATTTTTGTCTTTATTTAAAATATATAAAGAAAGAAAAAAACAATAATTAGTGAGCTGTAAATTCTTCTCTTAAAGCTCATTTTTATATCATGAGTTATAATTTTCGTAGTTCTATGCGAAATTCCAATAATAGTCAGAGCTCTTCTAGAGGTAGAGGTAAAGTAGTTACGACCCCAAATATTTCATTAGAGGATCAAAACCCTCTTAGTTCTCGACCAAAAGTTCTGCATACTCCACCAAGAAAAAGCACTGTGGAAGTTAATCGTACTGTTGTTAATTTGAATAGTCAGTTTGACGATATCGCACTCCAACAGAGTAATCAAAGTTCTGATTCAAATTCTACAAACACACTTCCTACGTCTTCTCAGCAAGCTACTTCTCATACACAATCTGCAACCAGTTCTTCTTCTGAAAAAACTCAAAGACAGTTGCTTGAGGAATCATTCCAGAACATAAATCAATCATCTCTTGAAGATTTATTAGTTCCATCTGGATTTATTGATAACCAGGCAAGAATTTTGTTCCATTTAAACATGGATACCAATACTAATGCTAATAATGAAAATGTTCAGAATTCACAGAATTCGACGGTAAATTCCATAGAGTCTCTTATTTCAATGCTTCAGCAAACAATTAGGTCCACTCAAGAAGAAATGCGAAATGAACTTACGGCTATAAAACAATCAATTTCAAATATTTCTTCTACTTCTGGTGAACCAACCATACCCACTGCTAGTTATGTTGAAAAACACTCCCCACAATTCTAACCTTTCAAATACTTCGATTGTTAGTACTAAATTCGAAAAATGGAAAATCAATTTCGATGGTACTGTTAACGTATCAGATTTTCTATTTAGAATAGATACGTTGTGTGAAAGAACTCAATGTAGTCGTGAACATTTGATGGCAAATTTTCATATATTTTTAAGTGGAAAAGCAGAATCTTGGTTCTGGGATTTTATTAAACAAAATCGAAATGCTCAATATTCTCTCCTTAAAAGTTCAATC